ATTTAAAAAAAAACCATTTCGAGATATTCGCGTTTAAAGTTTCAAGTTTGGGTTTGGGCGGGGACGAGGCGCGCGGCTAGGAGCGCTGTAACTTTTTTTCTACTGCTCAAATCTCTATGAAAATTTTGGGAAATATTCTCAAGAAGTTGTTCTTTAAGATTAAGCAAAAAAAAATTTTCAATTTTTTGAAAATGAAAAAGGTATATACCCTCTTAATGCAACCGACATGCATAACAATACCTTCCCTGGTATAAGCAAATCGTGTTTCGTATTCGAACACTAATCACAACAGGAATACTGATTCGACTAGAACACACCTCACTTACCAACTCTTATTACATGAACAGAGACCTCCATACCAATAAAAACATAACTAAAATCATTAATTTCTTAAAATTCATATGTGAAATTAACAATTTAAATTATTATTCCCTTAAATTATATTGCTACTGCCATTCCAGACGAGCGGAAGGCCATAGTTGCTAATGCTCTTAATAACTAGTTAGTTTGTAGTTTTAAACCTTAAGCTAGCTTTATATTAATAAAAAAACAAATAAATCGGAAAAAAAATATAGTTTCTTCTTAAACTTTACGTTTTCTTAAATTTTAGAACTACGGCTTAGTTTGATAAAAAATCGCACGCCCATAATCGAAAATCGACATAGCTTTATTGTTTTTACAGGATTCTTTAGTGAATTATGAACAAAGATTAGTTTTTCTTCACTAAAAATTTTTTAATATTTATAAAAAGTCAAGGCAAATTATTACATATGTGTAAAATTGTACTATCTGCTAAAATAAAAATTAAATTTGTAAGATTTTTTTCAAAAGGTTTTTTTAAGCTCTAAAGTTGCGGGACATGTTTGTACGCATACTTTTTCTTGCATGTGTATGTATATGGCAATGAAGCTTTATGTAAAACTTTTTTATATACCTTAAAAATGAATATCTGCGTATTTAATTCATAGTTTCGTTTTACATATTTTAATTAAAGCTAAAAACATAACTTTTAATACAAAACATATAAAACAGCTTGATTAAATTTAAAAATATTTCAAAAAAGTTATATAGATTTGAATATACTATGATTGTTAAACAAAAACAAAGCGAACTATATTTAAATTGAATATATTTAAAGGATATTTTCGCTTTATTTTATTTCGCTTTATTTTTTAATCCATGGCTAACTTTAAAATGGAAATATTACATTTAATTTTTATTGAAATATATTAAACTTCTAATGACTTAAAATATTTTAAGTAAATATGAATAACATCAAATCTAATATTATCAACCTGCATTTAAATCTATTCTTATTTAGTCAAGCAGTTTTATTTGTTTTGTGTTAAAGGGTATGTTTTTATAATTCATTTAAATATATAAAACGAAACATTTAATTTGATACGCAGATATTCATTTTTATTTATCCATCGTTTTTTTTGTATACCTAATAAATATTTAAAGCTAATATTATTATTTTATAAAAAGTTTTTTGTTTCTCCTTTGCGTTTCTCTTTTTTCTAAATAATTAAAATAGTTAATTTACAAATATTTATATAAATTTAATTTATATTATGATAATAATTTTATATAATGTTATTTAATACGTATAATATAAAAATACCACATATTTTTAAATCCATATATTTAAAATACAATAAATATAAAAATATTAATACTGTTTAATCGCAAAATTTCTGAGGCTCCTAAAAATCATTCACACGTCGCGTGCTGAATACTCTAATGACAATGATTCCAATGTGAAGTCATGTATAAAATAAATTATGTTTTTTTTATACTTAGATATATTTGGTCATCACTAAAAAATATTATACATTCGAATAATTAGTAAATAAAGTAAATATAAAGGCAATTCAATATAAGTATTATTAATAATGTTAGAATTTTAAAATAAGGAGTATATTTCGACAGCGCGCTGCAGCGAATTTCTTCGCTTGTGAATACATGTGAACACATACATTCGTCGGCTGTCGCAGTATGCTTGCAAAAGAGCGGCTGGCTTTAGAGCGCTCTCACGCTGGCTTTTGGGCAGAGAGCGAAAAGCCAGTTGAAAAGCCAGCACAAAAAATTCGTGTGCAAAAAAATCGTATGGCGTTACGCATCTTAGAGTTTATATTGGTTTTTAAGGGGGTATATACCTTTTTTGTCGAAAAAAATAGGAAAGTTTGAATTTTTTTATGTATGTAACTATTGTTTTTATTAAATGAATGATTATATTTTCTGAAAGTTTAGATTGTTGACAATGTTTATGCAAAAATTTTTGAAAAAATATTTAATTGTTTTAAAGGTGTGGCTGTTTCCCTTAAACGCCCTTTTTTTTAAGAGCCTTGCGGTGATAATTCCCCAGGACGAATGGGTCAACTGATACCGAAAAAATAAAAATATTTCATTAGTTTAAAGTAGTACTTGTACTTGTACTCCTGTACTTGAACGAACGTTTTTAAAATTTTTTTTTTTTGTGGATACGGGAACGTTTATTGCAAAAAATGACGTTTTTGGACGCTAAAATTCTCACAAAACTATCTATTTCGGCGAAATAAAAATTTTTACATGAAAGAACGATCGTTCAAGTACTAATAAAATTCATTACGGACATTTAAAAAAAATTTCAAGAAAATCGGTTCAGTAGTTTTTCGTCAATCCATATCACCGCAAAGTCATTTAAAAAAAAAACCATTTCGAGATATTCGCGTTTAAAGTTTCAAGTTTGGGTTTGGGCGGGGACGAGGCGCGCGGCTAGGAGCGCTGTAACTTTTTTTCTACTGCTCAAATCTCTATGAAAATTTTGGGAAATATTCTCAAGAAGTTGTTCTTTAAGATTAAGCAAAAAAAAAATTTTCAATTTTTTGAAAATGAAAAAGGTATATACCCTCTTAATGCAACCGACATGCATAACAATACCTTCCCTGGTATAAGCAAATCGTGTTTCGTATTCGAACACTAATCACAACAGGAATACTGATTCGACTAGAACACACCTCACTTACCAACTCTTATTACATGAACAGAGACCTCCATACCAATAAAAACATAACTAAAATCATTAATTTCTTAAAATTCATATGTGAAATTAACAATTTAAATTATTATTCCCTTAAATTATATTGCTACTGCCATTCCAGACGAGCGGAAGGCCATAGTTGCTAATGCTCTTAATAACTAGTTAGTTTGTAGTTTTAAACCTTAAGCTAGCTTTATATTAATAAAAAAACAAATAAATCGGAAAAAAAATATAGTTTCTTCTTAAACTTTACGTTTTCTTAAATTTTAGAACTACGGCTTAGTTTGATAAAAAATCGCACGCCCATAATCGAAAATCGACATAGCTTTATTGTTTTTACAGGATTCTTTAGTGAATTATGAACAAAGATTAGTTTTTCTTCACTAAAAATTTTTTAATATTTATAAAAAGTCAAGGCAAATTATTACATATGTGTAAAATTGTACGCATTAAAATTTTGTGGAAGCTAAGGTTGATGGAAAATAGGATTACAGGATACAACCTAACTATTATGATAAAAATATTCATGGTTATACAAAAATCGAAGTTATTCAGTAACAAATGAACAGAAACAAAATTAGCATGTTTTACGATATTATCGTATAGATATATTTTAAACATGCTAATTTTGTTTCTGCTTATTTGTTACTGAATAACTTCCATTTTTCTGCACTAAGTTTCAAAAATGACAAAAAGTTAGTTGAGTTTAGGCCCAAGGGTCTTAATGATATAGGAGTAAGTAGAAAGAAATTTGGAACGTTCGCCCGAGGCATGCAAAATTTTTGATATAAAATTGACAAAAGTGACAAAAGAGGTTTATATATTTAACTTAAATACTTTATCTTCTTCATTATAAACATTTGGTATTAGAGATTTAGATCTTAAGGTAACATGTGCACTTTGCTATTTTGACAACGAAATTACCGTGTTACTCCTGGTTTTTTTTATTAGACATTTTAGTAGGAATAAAATGTTCTTCCGGATAGATCATAATCATAATCATAATTTAGTCGATTCACAGTGCAAACGACTAATTAATTAAAAACCATGTCGGACCAATTTGTTTTCTTAGAATGATACTTTAAACAAAACAAAGAACAATACAGTTTTTTTCCTATCCCACAGCCTTGTTCATTATTCTGCTGTTGTTTATATAATGCGGGGAATCTTGACTGGGTTAAAGAGGTCTGCCCTCTTGTTCCATAAAGAAGACTTCAAAATACCAGCAGAAGCTATCTTTCACGTTTATTTACAAGAAACAAGAAAGGAAGCAATATTTAGCAAGCATAAGCTTAGAAACTTTTACAATAGTATAGAAACAAGAAAGGAAGCAATATTTAGCAAGCATAAGCTTAGAAACTTTTACAATAGTTATGTCGGTTTTTCAATACATTTTTATATTGTACCTATGGCAGGTATTTGATATAGTCGCTCAATATTAATATAACATATATAGATATACATAAGCGATTTCAATTATAATAAAAAAACCTAATTTTTGAGTTATGAATCTCTTTTTTTCTTTATTTAGAGATGTATATCTTTTATTATAATTAATCTTGTTTAGACTGTCCTTTGGCTACAATTAAATTATTAACTTCAAAATTGGTTTAGCTTGGTCATCTATAGTTTACAGCAGTTCTACCAAACTTTACTGCAATATCATGAAACGGCTATCCGACTCTTCATAAATATGAGTGGAGAATAACAAATGTATAACAAATACGATAAGACGACATAGTCCGGTGCGTGTGGTTTTAATACTTAAAAAGTAATATAATGCCACGACAGGTGTGAAGAAAGGCACACAAAGCTATATAAATCTAGAGGCTTTGGATTCACTATACATTTCAGTATAGCAAAATTTTAACAATAGAACAAAAAATATATATATATATTTAAATTAATTATTATTACTTTATTATTTATTACATTTTTTTAAATTAACATTTTAAACATATTTTCGGTACCAATTAAATTATTTGTAAATTAACTGGTCACTAGAGAATTCATCATCATCATTTTCTTCCTCAAAGTCAGTAAACGGACAACTTTCTGAGATATTCATTAGCCTTTTAGATTTTGTATCATTAAAAAGCTTAAGCGCTCGTTGTAAACTTCTCTTCTGCGATAAAAAGAACCGTAAGCACTGACTCCTTGGCTCTTGATAAGGAATAAGTTCATCAATCTTATGTATGCGATCATTGATTTCATCTTCTAATATTAGTCGCCGCTTATCGTATTGCTCAAAATCGGATATCGCTTTGGCTAGTTTATCAATATTATCCTTTTTAAGTTTTCGGAAAAATTTAAGTTTTTCCTTCATCAACGTAAATTCTTTGTTATCCAATTGGACTTCATGGTACTTATTTAAATAATAAATACCTTTTTCTTGTAAAATTTCATAGTCATCGATGTTAGTCTGTAAAATGTATATTGATTTTAATAACATAATTAAAAAGCATGTAATCGAGGTGTCACAAAATACTCTTTCAACCCAATTCCAATCGAATTCCAATTTGGGGTGACACAAAATCGGTAGTTTTGTAACAATTTATAAAAATGTTTATTTAATTTTTGATTTACCTTTTAAAAGAAATATTTATTTAAATGGCTTTTGACCCTAAGGTTTATTGACTTGGATATATTACCATATACAGCTGTGTTCGCCGAAATAGCAGTGCGACAGATGAACAACTATAAAACGGTTTTTTGGAATAATCCTTTTCGTTAGTAGATCTATTGCACATTGATTTTGTAAAATGGATAGAGATAAGAAATAAGCAAAAGTTTCGATTTGCTTTATTTTTGTGTTATCTTGATATTTTTTCTCATATACAAATCGTTTGGGCTTTTCACTAAAATAGCAGTTTTGGATTTTGTTTCACGAAAAGTGCCGAAATTTTTTGTAATTTTGTGACAAAGGAGTTTTATTGAATTCGTTTTTATAGTTTATATGACAAAACACTTTAACTACGCAAATAATTTCATTTTAGTGGTAAAGGACCTCACTGCTCCAAGCAAGAAAGGGAAGAGATCATTCGGTTTAGAAAGGAGGGCAAAACATATAAAGATATTCAAAGCCTTTTGAAATGCTCTGCCAAGATGGTTTTTAATGCCGTAAAATATGAACCGAAACCTGAAAAAAGAGCTGGGATTCCCAAAGCCACAATTGCAGAGGACCGACGCATCGTACGTCTCAGCAAAGCTAATCCTTTTGCTTCCTCTAGAGATATTAAAGCGAAGATTGGCTTTGGAACCAGTGATGTGACCATACATATGATCGATGGGATCATAAAAAGAGATGCCTTTAATTTGGACATTTCAGCAGGACAATGATCCTAAACATGCTAGCAAGGTGGCCAAGGAGTGGTTTAGTAAAGAAAAAGTTGATGAAATACCATGGCCAGCACAGGCCCCGGATTTAAATCAAGCGCTACGTATTAAAGAATTCCCCGACTTCTAAGCCGCAGCTTTGACAATTTGTGCAGGAGGCTAGGTACCAGATTCCCCTCAAGCGTTGTCAAGATTTAGTGGACTCCATGCCACGTAGGTGTCAGGCTGTGATAGATAATATAGGCTATTTAACAAAATATTAGATCATAGACGAATTGTATTTCAGTAGGATGAGGTTATTTTAAAGATATTTTAAAATGTATTAAATTTTTTGTTAATTGTTTACTTTAACTGTTATTTCAATGAACTGCATAATATATATTTTTTTTGTTATAAGCTATATCTTCTAAAATGTTTAAGTTACCCAAATAAAATTTTTGTTGTATTATTTATAATTAAATACACTAAGCCTTTATGAAAAAACTTGTTATCAAGGTAATGTTGGTAATAGTATTTTTCAATCGTAAACGTGCAGGTTGTTAGCATTGCTATTTCGGTGAACACATATATATATATCCCCATCTTGTTTGGCCATGGTATCACTATAAATATTTCTGACAAAGCTTTTTCATCTTATGTTTTTCATTAAATTATTCAAACTTAAGGTATTAAGGCAAGTTTCTTTTTTATAGCCGTTTATCTTAGAATTAAATCCGTTGGAACACATCATTCAGGATCAATAGCCAAGTCGATTAAGCCATGTCCGTCTGTTTGTCCGTCCATATGAACGTCGATATCTCGAAAGTATAAGAGCTAGAGATTTTGCATATATGTATATTCTTGGTTTTTTATAGTAGCGCAAATGTAAATGTCAAAATATTACAACGTCCATTCTAACTCCCACAAACACTTTAGAGAAAGAAACACTAAAATACTTATTTTACTTATAATATTCTATCAACACTCCAAACATTTTACAAATATTATTGGCTTATATATAAGAGCAGATAACGCACAGATATCCATAATTTTTTTTGAGGTCCTTTTAGAGTCACTTAATTGCCGGGTCCAGCATTTTTATGAGAGACTACACGTTTTTTTGTTTTTATGTAAGTTAACACCAGCCAACTGCCCCCTTCCCTTTACCCCTCTTGAGCCCTTCGACACCGAACACCGCACCATTATATTCACCCCTCTCGGCCACCCACAAACTGGAACCCATTCCCTTCACCCCACTCAGTCATCAACGGCAACAATATTCAAGTGGCTATAATTCCAAGTGGCTGTAATAACGCCGCTGAGATATGAGAATTGCATCGGCAGCAGCGCAATAACGGAAGAACACCGACCGTCGGCTAGCTGCCTCAGCTATAGCCGCCGCTACCCCTACCCTTCGCCGAGCCCAGGCATAAGTGCAGCGCTAGAAATTTATCTCAGTTGCATCGATAAATTCTCCAAGTTTGCCAAACTTTTTCCCTTGCAATCAAAGTCAGCAATGAATCTCCGCGAGACACTATTAGATGCACTTCATTATTTCACAGCACCTAGAATGATAGTGTCGGACAACGAAAGAGGTTTTCTGTGCCCAACTGTCCTGAATTATTTGCGAACACTGGGAATTGAGTTATACCATACTCCTACTCAAAAAAGCGATGTAAACGGCCAGGTAGAAAGATTTCATTCTACCTTCATGGAAATATATCGATGCTTGAAAGGCGAATATCAGTTTTTTAAACCCACAGAAGTTATACCTATTGTAAAATACAGGTACAATTTTTTTTCAATCGTACCTCTAGAATAAACTTTTGAAGATATTCGAGGTCTCATAGAACATAAACAAACGCTAACCAACAATGGGCGTAATAAAAATAGAAGCCACCCAATTTCTTACGAACAGGGTAACACGGTATATGTCGCCAACAAACAGATTAAAACCAAAGAAAAGCAGCGATTGAAGCCTGAAGAGGTTCAGGATGACCGTAGGGTCACCATAAAAACAAGATCGGAAAAATGTTTCACAAATCTCACTTGAAAAAGTAATTTGGGAACTCCTAAGGTAAAATTTTACTCTCAGTTGCCAGACCGGAAGGGCTGCCAACAGATTATTTTAACATTTTACAACTATTTCACAATAAAAGCATAAAGGGAAATGTGTATTAAATGTTTCACTAACTCATAACCTCCTCCAAATACCAATTAAATCAATTAAAAATTTTTTTTTGTACTTAAGAAATATAAAAAGATAGTTTAGCAACACCTAGATTAAGATGAAAAAAATACTATAGGATAAAGGGTAATAATAAAACACAAGAAAACACGAATACAGACACCTAGACTAAGGAAGAATAACGACTTAATTATCTACATTTTCATATAACCTTCTGCTGACACTATAAGCGCGTCCGCAATCTATGTGGCAGCAACCCTTCATATTTTTAAATATGATTCACCGGTCGTCCCCTTACAACAAGGCACCGTCTGGAGAACCAATGGCGCCTTCAAACTGGCTCACATCATAAGTCTAGGGCGCATGCAGCAGCTCATCGACAAGATAGCAGACGAAGCGAAGTTAATCACGGACCAACGGATCGCTTTGGTTAACCATTACCTGCAGCAAGCTTCAGAAGGGATCTCGCGCATGAATAGTGCACCGTCACGGAGGCAACGCTCTATCGACTGGCTAGGATCAGCTTGGAAATGGGTCGCGGGATCACCAGACAAATCAGATTGGAATGCCATTTTGAAAGAGGAAGACAGCCTGGCAAGGAACAACAACCAACAAATCCGGATCAAAAATAAGCTGTTTAACTCAGCACAGTAATCAATCCAGAAGCTGAATGACGTGATAGGGAAAGCCAACGCAATAGAAGGGGATTTCCACGTGACGACAGCCATTCTCCACAAGGCAATCATAATAGCGGACCAAGTCAACGAGATACTTCCAACTAGGAAAGACTGGAGTGGTCAACACAAACCTCTTGGACCACGAGGAAGTCGACACGATTCTGGCAGCCTCCCTTATCAAAACGTCATGGAAGCAGTTGAGTTTTCCCGACCTACAATCCTCACAAACGGGACTACTCTCCTGTATATCCTGGCGATGCCCAAAGTGGTGGACAGGAAATATCGATTGATGAAGATTTACCCGACGACATCGGATGGCAAACAAGTTGTACTAAAGTACACCACACTGGCAATATACAGCTTGGAAACATATGCGCTACTCGGAAATTGCATATCGATCGGTAACACAACCGTGTGCCGAGAAAAACACCTATTAAAATTCGATGAGGATAGTTGCATACCGAGATTACTAAAAGACGGCCAAGCCGAATGTGATTATTTGAGGACCAACCAGGAAACAGTGGAACTCATCGACGACGAAACAATCTTTCTAACAAATTTCAACGATACGGTATCGACTCCGATCAAGAAACACCACTTGGAGGGTTTGTACGTCGTACAATTTGACAACGAAACGATTAGGATTGGTGACCGGAACTACAGCAGCTACTCGTCATACCTGATGGCAATGCCAGCCGTACTAACCCAAATAAAAACCACGGGTTACGAGCTTTCGTTGAAGTACGTCCACGAATTCAGCATGTCATGTCCAATGAGATTTTGATATCTTTCTCAGTAGAAATAGTCATAGCTCCTCCATCATGACAGCAGTATACCTCGTTTGGAAAAAAGTAACGTCGACCAAAGCAATTCCTAAGCTGCGGGACCCGCCTGAGAACCTGGAAGCGCGGAGTACGCCGGAACCTGCAATCAAGGCCTAAATGATCTGTGTGACACAGATATTGTGGTGGGGAGGAGTTAACACCAGCCAACTGCCCCCTTCCCTTTACCCCTCTTGAGCAGGTCGAATTGCATCGGCAGCAGCGCAATAACGGAAGAACACCGACCGTCGGCTAGCTGCCTCAGCTATAGCCGCCGCTACCCCTACCCTTCGCCGAGCCCAGGCATAAGTGCAGCGTTAGCATCTGGAGTGTAGAAACTCATTAGGTCAGACACCCAAAACCGTTGGTGTCGGCTTGAATATTTCCGCAACCGCTCTGCCAGCGGTACGCTGACGTCGCG